AAACCCTAAACCTTCAACCCCAAAGGATGATAAGGTATTTATATCCTTACTTCCTGAGCCCCTGGATTCATCATCCAGCCGTCGAGGGCTTACGGGGTGGAGGACCCTAATACTGGTGCCTCAGTTAATACTTACATATATATTTTTTTTTTTGGGGGGGGNNGGGGGGGGGGGGAGTCCTTATCATGGTTACAGTATAATATACCCCCAAAACCCTGTTCTAAACCCTAAACCCTAAACCCTAAATCCTAAGCCCTAAACCCGACTAGGAGCCCTAACGTTACTGTATAACGTGGAGAGCGCAGGAGGCTTAAATCGAAGAGCAAAGGCGGCTTTGGGGTTGGGGGTTGAAGGGATTCAGCACTATGGGTTTAGGGGTTTAGGGTTTAGGGGTTTGGGCTTTAGGGGTTTAGGGCTTGGGGGTTTAGGGTTTAGGGTTTAGGAATTTGGAGGTATGGACAGGGAGTCTAAGCATCTTTTCGGCGCTTGCTCTCACCGTCTTTCTGCTTCTTAAACCCTAAACCCTAAACCGGGGTTCTTTGCTTACTCCGACGCTGTCGTACTCTCACTCTCTGACTCCGGCCTCGACGCCTTGAGCCCTAAGTTGAAACCCTGAACCAGAATCCCAGAGACTCCAATACCCCTTAATTCTACGGTTTAGGGTTTAGGGTTTAGGGTTTAGGGTGATCCTACTATAATTTTAAGGTATATTCCTTAATTAAGGGGTATTGGAGTCTCTGGAATCCTCGCCGACAGGTCGTGTTCGGCGATGCTGCAATGGATGAGCGGGTCCTTCCTGAAGCAGACATCGTCCTGGCCGTACTGCCCAAAACCCCTGCGACGGAGAACGTGTTCGACGACGTGCGCTTCAGCAAGCTCCTTCTTGCAAGAATGATCTGGGTAGTTCTCTAAATTAGGGTCCCTTTTAGGTCCTTTCTATAAGGGTGCCGTACTATATTGGGGATGGAAACCGGGACCCTGATTTAGAAAACTACCCATCTGGGCAGCTTTGAGTTATCGGGCTGCCTTCTGACAAGGGTGACACGTACAATAAGAATACTAAACAGAGATCCTGTAGAGAGCAGCCCGCTTCCGAGGCCGTGATTAAGAGCTAGATCCTCGAACCCTAATTCACTTGGCCCAAAGCCACCAAGGCCTTCAACCTGAAAAGCTTGTCCCCAACACATGAAAAGCACATATCTGCGGTTTGTACCCACGCTGCACAAGCCTGCAAGAATATTCATGGCTCCAACATCCCTCAATTCAGGAGCTTAGTGTTTGGAGTTCAAGGCTCATTAAGGCTTATGTTCTTTAGGGCTTTGGGTTAAGGGTTTTTTAGGGTTTAGGCTTAACGGCTTAATGGTTATTCATTTACACCCCTGATTAAGTAATCGACTTCCCTACGCTAAATTCCTTAAAAGGGGCCATAACAGGGGCCCGAACAGTCGGGTCCTTGACGAAACGGGGTTTATTGATCAGGGGTCTTCTGCAGTCGACTACGTAGGTCCTGCACAGGGACTTCCCAAAAAGGGAAGGAGCTTTTGCAAAACCGCATCCCCTGATGATCCTTGTAAAATTCTTCCTTCGTATGCCCCAGAGGCTTCTTCTGCTGATGAGGGGATCTAAAATGGGGCTGCCATTGATTTTTTGTTGCAAGAGTTGCCTGTACCCTCATGCCTCACCTAAGAAGTATTAAAGTTATTAAAGTCATGAAGGCTTCGGGTCATGATTCTCATTCAAGGTATGTTCCAAATCAGCAGCTGCTCTGTTTGTAGGGATTCTGCAACAAAGATATCTTCGTGCCTTTGGGTTTAGTCTCTCACAGGAAGTCTCTGTTTTTAAGGATTCTGCAACAAAGATATCTTCGAGTCTTTGGCCTAAACCCTAAACCCTAAACCCTAAAATTGGGTTTCAGAAAGGCTGAGTCTCTGAGGTTCAAGAAAGGGGCGCTCTTCATCAACATCGGTCGGGGCTCCAGCGTGGAGGAAGCCGCGCTCCTGAAGCACCTTCAGGATGGCGCAGGGCTAATTTTAAAGGGGTTTAGGGTTTAGGGGGTTTAGGGTTTAGGGTCTAGGGTTAGGGCGTAAGGGGGTTTAGGGCCTAGGGTTTACGGTTTAGGGTTGAGGATTGAGCGTTTTAGAGGCTAGCCTTTACAGTTTCGTGTTTCGGGTTAAGGAAGAGTGGCGAGTGGCTGGCAGCAGTAATGTCCAGTCAGTGTCCCTGTCATTTCAAGCATCAAGGGTGCTCTAAACCCTAAACCCTAAACCCTAAACCCCAAACCCCTTAAACCCTAAACTGAACCCTGGTTGCCTGCCTTTGGGGCTCATGAGAACTGAGAGACATCCCCACGAAACCAACAGCAAAACGCAGTTTGTTGAACCGTAAGACCCTGAAAGAACCCTGTACTAAACCATCAACAGCAATACCAATTATGGTATAGATGCCTGAACTACTAGCAATACAGTCCTCTGGGGTTCTTGAATATCTTCATATACTGCATAGTATAACAAAATCGAAGCTTTTTCTAAGTTAACCCCAAACCCTATACCTGATTCCTAAACCCTCAACCCTCAATCCTAAACCACGAACCCCCAAAATCTAAATCCTGCACCACAAGCCTTGGACCTAACCCCAACGACCAGGGCGGACGCCTCCGGGGGGCTGCGTTGGACGTCTTCCAGACTGAGCCCCTTCCACCGGAGTCTCCGTTCTGGCGCCCAAGCTGAACCTTACAGGGGGTTTAGGCGTTTAGGGGTTTAGGGACTGAGGGTTCGGATTTTAGGGTGTGGGGTTGTATTGTTTTGGGACTTCGGGTTTGGGCAGTACAGGGTTCGGCCTCTGGCGCTCAAATGGGTAGTTGTCAAAATTATGGTCCCTTTTGGGGTACCCTAAATAATAGGTGCCGTATTATAATAAGGACCCAAAAAGGGACCATAATTTTGACAACCACCCAAATGGAAGTTATAGTTTTCAAAGCAAGGTTCGTTTACTCCCTCCAAGTTGAGTCAAGGGGCCCCCGCAGATCAACAGAGCATTTCCCGCCAAGCTGGGCTAAGGATTACCGGTGTACCATTGTTCCGACAGCCAGACCCGAAAAGAGTATCAGAATGTTGGCAGTCATAAGAATTGAAGATATGTAATGTTAGCCGTATAACACGTGGGTTTGAAACTCGGCAGAGTCATGCACTACACGCCCAAGTCAAAAGGTAATAATGGTATTTGGGATTGACAGTGTTATGACTCTCACCCAACAGGCCCTTGACCTCAGCAAACTTTTAGGTAGTATTGGGCAGACCCCGCGAAGCGAACCCTTCTTAACCCTACTTTATGGCTCTCTTAAAAGGGACCTTATTGAGAGGGTCTCTATTCTCAAGGGTCTCCCCAATCCTATCCTATCTCCTACAACCCTAAACACCCTAAACCCTAAACCCTAAACCCTAAACCCTAAACCCTAAACCCTAAACCCTAAACCCCAAGGCAAGAAGATGTCCTTCCGGCTTCGCGGCTCCTTCTGACACCTCACAACGCAGATATCAGCCTCTCTATGAACGAGGAGCACGGCTTTCGGCTTGAACTTTAAAGCCTAAACCCTAAGCCCGAAAGTCGACACTCTTTAAGGTGAAGGTCTTGGGGGTCATTCAGGGTTTGAAGTCTCGGATTTAGGGCTTACAAGGATTCAGAAGTTCAGAATTTCAGTTTCAAGATTAGTCTCGGATTTAGGGCTTATAAGGTTTGGGATTCAGAAGTTCAGAGTTTCAGTTTCAAGATTCTTCGTTCAGTGATCAGGCTTCTAGATTGAGGGGGTTCCGGGTTCCGGGTTCAGAGTGGAGGGTTGCAAGCCAGTAGATGGGTAGTTGTCAAAATTATGGTCCCTTTTGGGGTACCCTAAATAATAGGTGCCGTATTATAATAAGGACCTAAACCCTAAACCCTAAACCCCTAAACCCTAAACCCTAAACCGTATCATTTTGACAACCACCCAGATGTAGATCACATGTTGTGTCTGTTTTGCAAGGTCACCCTGAACCCGGTAATGGACCTCCTGCGACATCGACCGTGAGCTTTCAAATCCGGTTTAGGGTTTAGGGTTTAGGGTTACAAGAATCAACACCCAATCTACAGCAATTCGCTAGGAAGCCAGGCTCTAGAAAGCCTGCAAAAGCCCAACCCCCTGCCGTTCAGGAGTCTGCGGAATACTTCTGCAGAGTCGCTCGGCGTTTTGTCCTGGAGGGCAAAATGCCGGACTACCTCGTGGACCTCGCCAGGGGGTATTGAGCGGCGAAAAGCGCTTCACCCAATAATTCGTAATTACACTACCTCCCAGACCAATATCTTATAGCCCTAAACCCGACAACCCTAAACCCTAGCCGCCCTAACTGCCAACAGCCGAATATGTGAAAGCGCAACTGTGTTACTGAGTGCTAAGCCCACATCAGCGGTGTGATCGCAGCCCAGAGGACAGCATCGGGATCCAGGTAAACCCTAAACCCCTTAAAGCAGAAACCCTACAAGCTTAAACCCCTAGCCATGCTATGAAGCCTCAACTGAAACCTTATCACAAGCAAGACTCATCAACCGCAATATGTGGGCCTGAATAATTGCGACTACTACTCCTTGAGGCACTTTAACTCAGTTATAGTACACTATACCCCAAAACGTCCCAAAACCATGCTATAATGATTGCAGCACCCTGTACCAAAACCATATAGCAACCCTTCAAATAACCTTCATCCGTCCCTCCGAGAAGGAACCCCTTAACAGGAATCCCATTCTAGTGATGAAGGCCTCTCTATAAAGCCCTTATCCCTAAACCCCTAAACCCCCAAACCCTAACCCCTTACTAAACCCTAAGCTATAAACCCTAAGCCCGAAAACCCTGAACCCTAAAACCCTAAACTACAGACCCTAAAACCCTAAACTATAAACCCTAAAACCCTAAACCCGAGAACACTAAAACCCTAAAGCCCTGAAGCCCTAAAGCCCAAAGACCCTAAGACCCTAAACCCTAAGCCCTAAAACCCTAAACCCTAAACCCTAAACCCTAAACCCTAAACCCCTAAGACCCTAAAACCCCCCAAAGTTCGGCCACTTCCCTGAGGTCCTCGAGCCTTGGCCTTCGAGGCGCGAGCAAAGGCCGCGCGCCTGGCGTCCTTGGCCGGGCACCCGACCGGTTTAGGGTTTAGGGGTTTGGGGTTTTGGGGTTTAGGGTTTGGGGTTTTGGGGTTTGGGGTTTTGGGGTTTGGAGTTTTGCGGTTTTGGGGTGTGGGGTTTGGGGTTTTGGGGGTTTGGGGTTTGGGGTTTAGGGTTTGGGGTTTTGGGGATTTGGGGTTTAGGGTTTGGGGTTTGGGGTTTAGGGTTTGGGGTTTAGGGTTTGGGGTTTGGGGTTTAGGGTTTAGGGTTTAGGGTTCAGGGTTTAGGGTTTAGGGTATGGGGTTGAGGGTTTGA